CCTATAACACACGCCTTTGCATAGAAGAAAACAGTTCACAAACAAACATCTTTTTTCAAAAATCAACGGTAATTTGCAGCAACTTCAAACTTACAACTTACTAAACTTAAATTCAATGAGCTGCGAAATTGCATACCCGAACTATTTCTAAAAAAAAGCCTGCTAAAATAGTTGGAAATTTTCATAAAAAATTATGGAAATTTTATAAAATTTTCTTTATGTTTGCATAATAATTTTTTGAAAGCTATAAGCCTTATTCATCGCTGTACTGCTAGTAATACAATAATAATAATGTTACAAGTATGTTATGTAAGTTTGTTACTTGATTTTTTCACATTTAGTAACATAAATTGCATTTTATCGTAAATGTTTTTGCTTTTTTAATTTCGTACAATTAAATATTTCCGNACCTATAACACACGCCTTTGCATAGAAGAAAACAGTTCACAAACAAACATTTTTTTTCAAAAATCAACGGTAATTTGCAGCAACTTCAAACTTACAACTTACTAAACTTAAATTCAAAGAGCTGTAAAATTGCATACCCGAATTATTTCTAAAAAAAAAGCCTGCTAAAATAGTTGGAAATTTTCAAAAAAAATTATGGAAATTTTATAAAATTTTCTTTATGTTTGCATAATAATTTCTTGAAAGCTATAAGCCTTATTCATCGCTGTACTGCTAGTAAGACAATTATTTGTATGTTAAGTAAGTTTGTTAATTGATTTTTTCACATTTAGTAACATAAATTGCATTTTATCGTAAATGTTTGTGCTTTTTTAATTTCGTACAATTAAATATTTTCCCATACCTTTAACTCCTTACTCGTTTTAATATTTCGAAAATTGTTTGGCCTACTGTTTTGATTCTTTTTATATAGCCATGCTGCATGCTTCTTTAATTGAACCCACGCACTACTTTTTATTTGAGAGCAAGCGCCCTACATATGAAAAAAACAAACCCAAAGAAAAATTAAAAATAAAATAAAACAAGTAAAGTTACAAGAATTTAAAGCAAAAAACTGCAGCATGTCATACACAAATTTTTGCAGAGCCCCAAGCTACATATTCGTATTGCATCAACCGCTGCTGGCACAAGGCTACACACACAGCGCACTTCGTTAGCGTGCTCCTACTCGTACGCTGCCGCCCTTGTCGTTTTGGAAAGCATGTTATTAAGCTTTTGATTTGTTTATTTTTTTATAAAATATTTGGTAGTGCATACGATTGCTTTTTATTAATTTTCGACGCAAGTAAACAATGTAAACGTAGCAAACAAAAAAAAAACAAAAAGAAAATAAAAATAAAAACACNCCCATACCTTTAACTCCTTACTCGTTTTAATATTTCGAAAATTGTTTGGCCTACTGTTTTGATTCTTTTTATATAGCCATGCTGCATGCTTCTTTAATTGAACCCACGCACTACTTTTTATTTGAGAACAAGCGCCCTACATATGAAAAAACAAACCCAAAGAAAATTAAAAATAAAATAAAACAAGTTAAGTTACAAGAATTTAAAGCAAAAAACTGCAGCATGTCATACACACATTTTTGCAGAGCCCCAAGCTAATGGGTGATTTTTTTGAGGTTAGGATTTTCATGCATTAGTATTTGACAGATCACGTGGGATTTCAGACATGGTGTCAAAGAGAAANTTTTTTTATAAAATATTTGGTAGTGCATACGATTGCTTTTTATTAATTTTCGACGCAAGTAAACAATGTAAACGTAGCAAACAAAAAAAAAACAAAAAGAAAATAAAAATAAAAACACAAAAACAAAACCGCAAACACAATAACGTGCAAAATATCGTAAATTGGCAAACATAAAAGAAATGATTGATATTTTCATTTTCTCCCCACCCACTTGACGCGGCCACCCATAACTTGAATAACAACAAAAACAATGACGGATGCTTGGGAAACGATGCGCGCAACAATTACTTGCATAACAACACAATTTACCGCACGTGAAGTATCTTCCAGCCACTCATCAGTATTTTCATCACTGCAAGCAACAAAAGCAACAAAAGCAACAACAGCACCAACAGCTACTACTACAGCAGCAGCAGCAGCAACAAGCCACGCTACAATCTCAGCGTTGTGTGATGCGCATACCAATGCAACAACACACCACAGCAGCGCCACAACAACAGCAACAACTTGCACTGCAACAGCAACAGCAGCACCAGCAATCCTATGGGCCACCGAAACCGCAACAATATCAATACCACAACAACAACATTAACGTGCATACAAACCACGTCAGCAACAATGTAAATGGCAGTAGCAGCACCATGCCTCTATACAATAGTGGTAACAGCGGTAGCAGCGGTGGCGGTGGTGTTCAAGGTGGTGCTGAGACCAAAAGCAGCGTAGGAGCAACGGTAACATTCGACGAATTCACAGAATTCTTCTGGCCAGACGATAGCAAACAACACCATCATAGCACACAGCAACAAAAACAACTCTCAGCACAACACAGCAATTTCAATTCGATTGAAGTCAGCGTTGGTGCAGACATGGCAACAGAACAGCACACAACCAACACCACCACCACCAGCACTGGACGCACCTTCATCACGCCCGCTGACATACCGCCACCACCACCACATCCGCCCAATATTACGGCACGTAAGCGTTATCTGAATACCAGCAAAAGTTTGGAGGAGCGACCACGTGAAAGTGGACGTTGTCAATGTGAACATCCGATTGAATTTGCAGCGGCACAACAACAACAACAGCAACAATTGACAGCACAACAGGCGCTAACAAGCGTGCAACAACACCAACAGTCGCAGTCGGCACATCAGTCATATGCCGCTCATCACAGTGCATACCTACCAGCCATGCAACAGCAACAGCAACAGCAACAACAGCCACTAACACTTCCACAGCAACAGCAACAACACCAACAGCTGCCACAACAAACACAGCCAACATATCGTCCGCACTCGTTTAGCCAGTGTTCGCATAATGATTACAATCATTTGCCGCCACCGCCGCCTGCCACACTCACGCGTGCCGATTCGCATCGCAGTCATCACAATTTGGTGGCGGTGGCCAATGCTTCGTACTATAAGAATCGTTTCTTCGATGATGCGCCACTGCCACCACCTTCACATCTCTCCACTTCATCACTGTCATCGAAGACCACCTTCGAGACGAGGCAGCTGAAGGTAAGCGCGAGAAAGGAGAATATGTGTGTAAAAGGAGCATGCAAATTTGATGGGTTTGTCCTTAAATTGTCCTTATCTCCTTAAAGAAAATCCCCATTTCGGTTTCTCTGAGTCTTCTTTGTCCGCTGTATGGTGCGTGGATGGCGCTATATTTTTGGTTATAAACCGTCTTTCATTGCCTACTATTACGATGGGCAATATATACGGTGCGTTGTAGATAAAAATTGCTACTTGCTCATACATATTCAGACCCTGCTGGTATTCTCAAGGAGAGGGCGTCCTTCATTCAACCTGTTTTTTCAGAATACATTTACTAGATGAAGAAGCATTGCCAGATTTTTTAATATAATATATCGAAAAGTAAAAGATTTCGATAAAAATTATGTGGACATAAGCTTTTCGATAACGCTCTTCATAAGTATCCCGATAAGTGATGCGGCAAATGTATCGATAAATATGCGCGAGTAAATCTCGAGAAATGTATCAATAAAAATTTCGAAAAATACATGCATGGCATTATCGATAAATATATTGATGCCAAGATGTACAAATATTTTGTTAACGAGGATCTAAAAGATCTAATAGTAAAACTCGAAAGGAAATAAAATCTTGTGTTTGTGTGGTGCGTCCATAAAACACCTGATTAATTTTTCTGTACTTTTTGATCCCCCCTAGATATTTTAGATGACCCTTGCCCAACTTTTACCAAAATCACGTGATTTTTTGAATTACTCAGGCATTACAACCCCACTGAAAAAAGTTGTCTGAAATGAGGAAAGCGACTATCAAAAGATGTAAAATTTGTAATTATTTATATTTTTTTTTTGCACAAAAAAAAATTTATTTATGAAGGTTTCTATTCTTTTGAAGGAAAAATTACTCAATTGGGAGCATATAGTTTCGAAAGAAAATTTTTCTTCGCCAGTGTGAAAATGTAATTTACACTGCCGACAAAAAGTATTGGCACAGCTGATTTTTTACAATATACACAACAATTTTTATTGTAATATTTGTCCGACAATTTTTTTTAAAACTATGGTTTATTCCACAACAAAAAACATAAAAATATAATTTCTAAACTTTGCGCAAAACTCGCGAAAATTCAGCAATTTTCATGCAAATTATCAATTTTTGAACCTAATTTTTGAAAATGTTTTGGAGTGCGCAAATTTGTAACCCAATCAATTTTATTGCAATAAAGTAGAACTTCTAAGCAGCTACGAATTTTTGGCAATTTTTTTCACGCATACAAAAAAAATTTGGAAAATACTTTATATGGAATAAATGTAAAACACCTTCAACAAAAAAAAAATTATCAAAAATCAACACTTTTCTTGACTAACTACGAACTTGCGATTTTTTATATTACAATTTAATGAGCTACAAAACTGCGTACTCAAGAAAATTCGAAAAAATCTGATTAAAAAGATGCAAATTTGCATGAAATCTTATTGAATTTTCGCGAGTTTCACACAAAGTTTAAAAATTCTATATGAAATTTACATGAAATTGTAAAGGTGTAGTACAAATTTAATTTGACTCTTAACCCGAAACGAAGCGGGATTTTTTTTGTTTATTGAATCTCGCTGCATTGGAATGAAAGGGCTTCTGGAAAACTGACTAAGAGAGCTTCCAAAAAATAGGTAATTTTGAAAAACGCTGCTTCAAATCAGTTTTTTAAAAGCACTACCCATTTTGCACACTATGAAACCTTGTCATTTTCCCATCTCCAATTTTTTCGACAAAAGAACTGGCTTCTCCAGTGGGCACTTCCACCCTCCCTTGCTGGGTCAGTCAACCTTCTTTTATTGTAGATTTCACTCGGAAGTGACCCATCAAGTTAATTTGTTGTATGTATGTATGTACATACCCCAAAATCCAAATTGTCCAAATTTATTTACATATTTTATGCAAAAATAGCGGAAAGGATAAATGAAAAAGGATATGTGAACCAAAAGCTGGTCATCATTGGTCAGTATGGCAAGCATACAAACCAAAGTCAGCAAGACAGTTTATGGATCTACAAATTTAACTACATACATACATATACATAGATGTGTATGTACATATGCTACATACCTCCTCTTTAACCTGCTTGTCACAGTTCTAAATAACAACAATGATTTATTTGAATTGCTTAACTCGTCACAAGGAGGACTTTGATTACATAGTTATTTTATTTCAATCCTATGTGCAGTTAAGTTAAGAGGCGTTGTTGACAAATAAACATACTTATTCATAAAGGGTACTAGCTGCTGCTATTTTATGGCATCTCAATCCCATGATTTACATAACAATGCTGAGTTATTTATATATTATTTGTACGGATGACTATAAATGTAAATAAAATTTATCAAAATTGAAAGGAAAATAACCGGAAGGTAGTAATCTTTAAGCCAAAAGTAGTCAAGTGGATTAAGTGTCATAGAGAAAGCATAATAAAAACTGTGAATAGGATAATTTAAATAGAAAATTTGTTAATGTATATCAGAGGAAAACCAAGTCTTGATTGGGTGACTTTCAGAGAAATGAGAAAAACTTTCATTTGTTATGCTGAATTTCCACCAGGCATTACTTGGCAAAAATTGTAATGACAAAGTTGGGTATTAAAAAATGATCGTGTCATTACGTTCAAAAAATAGTCATTAAGTTCATTTCCACAAGGCATTTTTTACCATTTGGTTAAAATTTTTTGTCATTTCAATGCTTAGTGGAAATTCGGTATTATATTGGAGTAAGATATACGTATGTATAAGTATATTTGAAAATCATTTGTTGAATAAATATAGGCATTACATTGGCTTTTATATGCTTAAGTTATAAAACAAAATATTTATTGCAATAAACTCTCCCACAGCATTCGCTAAACTTTGAGCTTTCAAGCGAAGTTTTGTATATTACATTGCTAATTTGCTTGTGATACCGCTACGTTTTGGGCAACAACTGCTAAGCTGTTGGGTAATTCGTAAGAGGCGAGGACGAGTTTTCGCAGGCGAATGATGGTAGACTGGGCCAGTGTTGCCGGTTGAGAATTTTCAGAAAGTCGCAAAAAGTGGTAATTGACGAAAAAAGGGTCACCATAATATATTTGCTTGCTTTACTAGTAAAAAAAGTCTGAGATCCCAAGTCAAAATCAAATTTACATGTATTATAAAATCTTTTCGCTGTTAAATTTAAGAAGAAAATAGCGGGACAAGCTTTAAACAAAATATCGAAATCCAGCTGCTACAAGAAGAAGAGTAGCATTTCTTTAAAATTTTTTAGTGCTGCATTTCTTCCTTCTTACAGGAGGAAATATTTTTTAATAGCATGGTTCTAAAACAAAATCTCTGGAAAGGAGCAAAATTCGCACATAATTTTGGAAAAAGGTCAAAAAATCCAAATTTTTAAAAAGTCGGCTCAAGGGTATTGGCGCCCAAAAAGGGTCAAATTGCCCCTTAAGTCGCACAACGGTAACACTGGGCTGGCAGGTTAAGAGAAAGTCCTGAAGTGTCAATTGATCTTTATTTCCTACTTAATTTTTTTAATTTTTAAAATATTGATGTTACTTACTTTTATTTTGTCTAATTTATTTTTTTATGATTTCAAGATAGAAAATAAGTTTCGAATTTGATCTACACAATTCGTTGTAAAAATTTTAAAAATTTGTATTCGCACTTTTGTTTTCAATTTTTCAATCCCTTTCCGCAAACTGAAGATATTGTCGCAGAGAACTAGGATTTCTTTTCGAGAACAAGGAATTAAAATACCACCTGTTAAGATCAATACAATTTTCGTATCAAACATTTCTTATTTTTCGACCCGCTTTGGTCATTTTAAATTTGGTCATAAATAAATGGTCCTTTTTAGAACTGCAAGAACTGGACATATGTGGTCACTTTGAAATTAGGCATAAATTTATGGTCTTTTTATACCCGAGCGCACTTGTGCACAAGGGTATATTAATTTTGTTCACATAACGGTTTTTTGTAACAGCCAAAACGAATCGAGATAGATATAGACAAATGTATACATAAATGATCAGGATGAAAAAAGAAATCGATTAAGCCATGTCTGTCTGTCCGTCCGTCTGTCCGTCTGTCCGTCCGTCCGTGTACACGATAACTCGAGCAAAAATTGAGATATCTCAACGAAATTTGGTATGTAGATTTCCCTTAATCCAAGGTAGGTTAGTATTGAAAATGGGCGAAATCGGACTTTAACCACGCCCACTTCCCATATAACGGTAATTTCCAGAAATACGAAAACTGCGATATTTTAGTAACTACTGAAGATAATTCACTCAAAATTGATATTTACAATAATTTTTAGACGAAAAATAAGAATATTATAAATTTTTGGAAAATGGGCGTAGCCACGCCCACTTATGGTTACATGTGTATATCTTGGTAACCGCTGCACCAATTTCTTCCAAACTTGGCACAGTTGTTGGCCTTGGTACAGCATAAAAAACCGCCGAAAATTTTTAAAATCTCTCAATAACCACGCCTACTTCCCATATAACGGTAATTTAGNTTTGGAAAATGGGCGTGGCACCGCCCACTTATGATCTCATATAAGTATATCGGTAACCGTTCTACCAATTTGTACCAAACTCGGTGTGGTTATTGTGCTTGCCACATATAAGCAAAACGTTGAAAATTATTGAAATCGGACTAAAATAACGGCCGCTTCTCATATAACGGTAAATTTCAGAAATGCTTGAAACTTCAATATTTCGAAATTGAAGGACGCTAATTTACTCAAAATTGATACACCCCGGCTTACCATCTAGCGGAAGGTTTCGGAAAGGTGAAAAAACATATATTTAATACTTGCGCCGGGTATTTAATGTTCGGCTCCGCCCGAACTTAGACTTTCTTACTTGTTATATCTGCATATGTTCATCATCATGATCATTTTCAAAGTGACCCCAAAAATTCGAGCTCCAAATCTGGTGCAAAATTAAAGAAAATTCTGCAAATTTTCATCAAAATCGAAAATTTTTTTATATGGAGAAA